AACAAGATCGCCGAAGCAGAAAAGCTGAATGCTGCTTGGGCAACATGCTAAATACAGTCTGGGCCATGGGGAGAGAATCACAAGCAAGACAGCCGAAGTGCAGGGGCAAAGTAAAAAAAACAAACAAGGAACATATTTATTATATACATTGTTCGCATTTGACTTTTGCTGGATTCGGATAGTATTTCAATGGACTACACGGGTGGTATCTGTGGACTTGTTTATATCAACCCTCAGGTAACGTATAACAAACGTAAGCGAAGGTGTCTAGCTCGTTATTAGTCCCTTAAGCCCTAAAATTGAGATTTTACTTGAATTGAATTGTCCTGAAGCTAAAATACCAGAAGCTTTTCTCACGCAGACTGTCGCCCTTCACAGGTTCCACATTTTCTGCTACTAGTGCTGCATCTACCACTGGACAGACGTTCAAGTGCTTGCTTTTACTCCTGTTTTCCTTTGTTGTCAGAGAGTCTAGCTGTAGGGAGTTTGGAGGCTGAGGAAGCTTTTGGGGGCCTGCAGCAGTGCCTCTTTTAATTGGAAATGACAATTCAGACTAAACGGTGTATTTTCCGAATACCCAAGGCTGGAATAAAAAATGTCAGGAAAAAGTATAAATTAACATTCCAAATCACGGCACTATTGCCGTGCATATTTGGCAGTTCAATACACTTCATACAGGCAACTGGGGGCGATTCGGCCGTTTTTGCTGCTACCATACAAACTAATTTCCAGTAATTGTGCATCTTTTAAAAAATATGCCTGCATACGTGTATAAACTATATAATTAATTTACGAATAAACTACATTTATGTAAAACAACCCTGTTCCATGAGCACTTCAAAGATAATCAGACACATGGCCTTTAAAACAACTGCGAACCAGCGTATGCAGAGCGGCAGCGCAAAGTCGGAGTCCCGAGCTAATTTGCCGACCACCCAAGGGCCCATGATATAAATGCCACTTCAAATGCCTTGAAAGCGGGATGTAATATCGTCCTAAATCATGAACATGCAAGGGACAGCAGAATTCCAGCGTCTGAAACACTTGCGCCACCGCTCCACCGATCCTTCGCAAAAGTGCCTTGTGTCGTTTGGACGGGCGGGGGTTTATTTGTAACCCAATTTTAAAGGTAAAGGGGACAAGCAGGCTTATAAGATGTACGGAAGCACGTCAATATCGGCCTAACTCAACGTCTTGTACACCGGGTAAACGAAGTCCAGCTCCTCGAAGAGCCTGCGGCACACAACGCCAAACCAGGAAACCGGTGCTGGGAAACAAGCCGATGCGAGATCACGGAGCGGAGTCATCGGGGCGCGGCGACCGATCAGGGCGCGGCGACCGCAGCGACGCTTGTACTCGCTCTCGGGGCTAATGGTCGTGGAATCCCGGAGAAAAGCTCACCGGAGAAAAGCTCACCGGAGAAAAGCTCACCGGAGATAAGCTCACCGGAGAAAAGCTCACCGCAAACCCAGCGGATGCGGAGAAAAGCTCACCGATTTTTTTCTTTTTATATGGAGGCTGTTGGTTCATGCGTAAGATATATCAATTTATTATTATTAAAATTCGTCAGCTTTATAAAAAATAAAATGTCATTTTTTGTATTATTTGTTAAGCTTATTGAATAATATTGCTCCCAAATTAATAATTGCCGGCGAGTGTTTTCTGTAGCTTACTCTGTAGGCAACGAAAGCCCAACTCCAAAGTTTACGAACTTGAAGAACAGGAAAAAGTTCGAAAATTTAATAATATCTGCATAAAGCCTAAAAAGCAAAACTGTCAATGGCGAACATCCGAAAGAGCATGAGCAACAACGCGGTACCTGAATGGACTTCTTCCAAAACCGACGCGCCCCATCGCGGCGAAATACCACGCAGTGCACTCTGGGAACTAGTTGGCCACTCAGTTTCGGTTTCGACTGAGCAGCTTCATCTCATGCTATCACGCCGCGACCGAACGCGCTGCTTCCGTTTTCGATTATCTGACTTTTCACGAACGTACAATACACTCATTCTCGATCGATACAAAACGAAGACCGGGGCACTTTCCCTGGTTCCCGAAACACCGGATATTGTGCGTGCGTATGCGAGCGTAGTAAGTCGTGGCTTAGTCACCTCACCGTACGGGTGCATGTTTGAGCTCAATTTCAATAATCCCGTCTAGTACCAGTGAACTAGAACTGAAATTTGTTCATCTGGAACCTTACACGTATTTTGTTTGCCAAACGTCCGTTTCGTGTTACTTCGTTGGGCGAAAAGCCAGCCGCATCCTGACAGGGTATCAAAGTTGAGCCCGGCGTTTACGCATGAACTTTTAAGGAAACGCAATAAATTCGACCTCACTACTGCACAAAAGTTACTATGATGTCTTCCTCGTGTCATCATATATCTCCCACTCAAATTTTATTCCGATAGACGATTAACTTTTCGCAAACGCTGAGATCGGCTAGCTACGACGGAGGCCCAAGCTGCTACTCCTCGCTAAGCATTTTTGGACGAGTTTTTCCTGACGCCCAAGACCTTTGCCTGAACGGTGTGTCTAAAATTATCTCGGCATACTCAGGCAGGAAGAAAACAAACACATAACAAATATTATGGCCATTAGCAACCGTCAAACGCGCTTTGAATTCGTTCGAGCACTTGTGTGAAGAATGTCGCACCGTGCGCCGGACGCATAGGGGTTCATGCCCGTCCGGCGCACTTCCGGCGAACGGTGCGACATTCTTCACACAAGTGCTCGAATTTTGCTTTCTTAACACGGTCTGTATGTGCGATTGTGCCTATTTGATTGCAGGATAACTTTATGCGCATACGCGATGTTGAATTGGAATGCAAGCGGGTGGGGACTTCACTTCGTGTAGTGCTGCGGGTCAGTACAGATAAGAGATAAGAAGTGTGTTAAAATTGAGCTTTTTAATGGGACCTCCGAGTTTTACCTCGCATACTCAGCCATACTAAGAAAAACAGTAATTGCAAAAAGTAATATTTCGTCTATGGATACACGAAACAAACTTCCTGATCAACAACACTAATGTAAAGGCGCGAGCTCGATGTATGCGTACTTATTGGTTGCTACAGCTTTTTGATTCGTACACAAGCAAGATCCCCCAGCTTCGCAGCGTCGAGATTCCCAGCACTGGCTCGTCCACATACCTCGATTGGAACGCTAACAGGAAGGCAAGTACAAAAATACAACAAGCATGTGTTAAGACAAGCTATACGTCTCAGGCTTGTGCTCAAGCTTCGAGGTCTGGCCAATGAGGTTAGTTTAGAGGCCACAAATGACGCTCTCGGGACCAGAAAACATGAGATAACGACCGTTAATAGTCCACGCTTTGTGTATATAATCTCTTGTCGACGTGTCGATCGAAACCGAAACCATGCCACTCTTCTCCCTGGCCAACTAGTTCCCAGAGTGCAACGCGCGCCGTGTTGCATGCAGGGCTTTATGGAAGTAGTCTATTCCTCTTTGAAGCTTTTGTTAACCTTTGAAAGCAGGATAGAACGGTCAGTAGAATATTGAAGTTTCTCTCTTCCCGGACATGCACGTTTTGTAGCCGTTCGTGCTGGTGTTTCCAGGCGTTCCCTTCGTGTGATAATGCCCTTCTACGGCGAGTTACCCATGATTTTCAGAGCTGCACCCTGGCACCGTTCTTACTCGTGACCTAAATAAGAAGTAGTCTTCTGTAAGGTGATGAAAATCGCTCAAACAACGACGACGGAGTGAAGACAACAAACACGACAGGACGAATCTGTTCTCGCAACTAAAGTTTTGTTAGTGAAATTAACAGAAAGAAAACAGCGTAGCCGACACTGATTGCATCAACAAACACCTACTTACCTATTAGGCACTAGTACTACACAATATTTGGAACTGAAACGGTTCACACACCGCAATTCCTATTAGCTGGCAAAGAACAAACCTCTTTATTTGACAGAACTACCGACAGCACACTGCCAGTTGTCAATAAATTGTTGTCCTTTTTACCGGTGTACGATGTTCTGATTTTGTAGTTGCGGCTTCATTAATATACAGAATGGATGATTACTAAATTTTGATGAATTAGTAAATATGCCCAAAGAACTTCAAGAGTATTACAAAAAAATTGACATATTTTTAATGAAGTGACGAATGCGAATTATGTTAAATGGCAACGTTTGACGCAGAATCCGCTGAGTTAAAAAAAAAAAAATCGGTGAGCTTTTCTCCGCATCTGCCGGTTTTGCGGTGAGCTTTTCTCCGGTGAGCTTATCTCCGGTGAGCTTTTCTCCGGTGAGCTTTTCTCCGCCGCCCATGGTCGTGCGGGCCAAACTGCCCCGTACTGCCTACAAGCACAGAAAGAAAAAATGCACTGCTATGTTGTGTTTTTTATGCCTGTATTTGTCTTTCGCACTGTACGCCAATTAAAATGAAAACTGCAATATCTGTAGATTACGTATGATTATCTTGAATGAAAGATATGTAATCAAGCAAGTTCGTCATCGTGCCACAATTTGTGCAAATGTCATTTTATGTGAAATTCAATGTCAAAACAGTACTTACGCTGGAATAATGAATCAGTCGTTCTTCGCCATCCAAAAGCTGTGAACTACCAATCTTGGCTATGAGACCATAGGTCCACAAAAAATCACGCTGAGTAGAAAATTTGCCTTTTTTACCGCAAGTACGGGAAAGCGTTTATTTTTCAAACAGGTCGGGTGGTGATGCGTGGTTGAGCACTTGACGTCGCAGGACAGTTGATTGGGCACTCGTTGGCGCCAGGAGTGCATGCAGTGATCCAGGATCGTGCTGCCTGCGACGAGTGTTGAAATTTGAATATGGTACAAATAGCATGGATTAACAGTCTTAGAATTATTTTAAACTTGTACTTTATTTAGAGATTTAGATTTTGATCGTACCTTTTATTCATCGTCGTCTTCCATGAGAGAACCACTTGCCGAGGAGGCCGTGTTGTCCTTGGACGCGGCTTGGCAGATTAGGTCACAAATGTTTTTCACGAATCTTTAAAAAACTAACATGAAATAAAAAGCAATCATTTTATAAGAAGGTGAAAATAATCTGGGAATTTACCTGTAACTTTTTTGCAGTAGTTTTTCTTCCCACCCTGCCTGTCCGGGTGCCGGCAGTTCTCCACGCGGTATGCCGACGTGCTCGTTCGTCCGACGTGCTCGTTCCAATCGAGCACAGTGAGGCTCTGTCTTAGGTTATATGTCTCGTTCTGGTAGTGGGTGCGTTTGTCCAGGTACATGAGTACCGTGTTATTGAAGGATTCGACGTAGAAAGTGTCCTTCGACCTCACAAAATTGTGCGCGTGCTTGTACACTGTCGTTGACTTGATAAAAATTGTCAAGAGATCGAGAGCTACGGAATCTTTAACGAGCAGCGTACTCGGAACGTGCCCAACATCCTTGCATTGTGATTCCGAAGCGCAACACCGATGGTCACCGGAAAAATGATTGACGCAGTTTAGCAGTGTTGCCCGTAGGGTGTCAGCATCACCGCCACAGGTGGCCATCGCGAAGTAGACATGGTTGCGTACTGGCTGGCATTTGTCCGAGAGTTGCTGATGCCACGTTTTGCCTTCATTTTTTTTTGGTCCCGAGGCTATGGTCATCATGCCCTTTTTTATATTTTTTGCTGCGTGCCAGCGGTCGTTCGTGTTCGTCGTATTTCCATTCCTCTCTCGGATGATCTTGTTGACGGAGGTGTTCCTGTCAGGGGCGTGGTCTTTCAATTCGATTCCTTTTGAATCAAAATACTCGTACAACTTCTTCGTACCCATGACTTCATGCTTCTGCGACGAGATTTCATCATTCTTGGTGACATGCACAATTCCTACGATCTTGTGTGTCTCCTGGCCTAGGGCAATGACATCTGTATGGTACGAGTTTTTACGGCAGGCATGCCGTGCGTCCGTCTCAATGCTCATCATGGGAGAGGCTCATGGGGGCTCGCTTGCTCGGCACTCTTCTTGCTGGGCGGCAGTCAAGGATTCTATACCGCAAGAGGCCCACTGCCGCTTTGACCTTGATTGTAGCCCTTCCCTTACGAAAATGGCAGATCTGGACTTATATAAAAAAAGCAAATATGGACATATAAAAAATTGGGCAGATCTGGCCATATCAAGCACATCAGTTTATATAAGCCTTATATAGCCAGATCTGCCCAATTTTTTATATACCCATATTTGGGTCTGCCAAATAGGGGTATATCTGCCTCCCATATCAGGTTTTTTTTTGTTTTTTTTTTTCTATTCTTGCAGATTTGTTTTTAAAAAAATCATGAAAGCTACACTTATGTGGTTTCTGCGGGTGAGTTATACGCCCAGGAGGACATTACGCGGGCGCTAAGCTGTGCGATTACTCGGCTAATTAATTAAAATTCACTAATTAACTTTTCAATTAGTGAAAATAGACATACGGTTCCAATAAGCCGCTAGCGGGGCGTCGTCCAAAATCCCTAAATCAGACATTTTCAGAAAGACTTTCAGCGCGTGAGAAGTGTGGTAGTGCACTAAAGTAACCACTCGTGGAGCATGTACAAGGCTAGCGGTTTCGGTAAGGCGCCCGCGCAATTTTTCTCTCTTACCTAGCCCCAGCCTTGTACCTGGTCCACCAGTGGTAACTTCAGCATACTACTGCGCTTCACACGCGCTCAGTCTTTCTAAAAATTACTGGTTTAGGGGTTTTGGACGACGCTCAGCAAGTTTCTAATGAAACTATATGCCTATTTTCACTAATTAAAAGTAAATTATTGAATTTTAATTAATTACCCGACTTATCGCAAAGATTAGCAGACTACATAACGTCCCCCTGGGCGTATCACTCTCGTACAAACCGCATAAGTGCAGCGTTCACGGTTTCTTTTAAAACAAATCTGCAAGAATAAAAAAAAAAAACAAAGACGGTATCTACCATGCTGGTAGTTGACTCTTCGACCCTCCACAGCGGAAGCAATGGTAAACTTTGCCGCGCTCGGCTGTAGCAATTACCCGGTATCCCGACGATCGTTTCGTCGGCATGAACCGCGAGACAGAGTGTCCGTCAAGTTAGAGAAAGTACAAGCGGGAGGAGAGGGATACGCCCGCGGACGACCGAGTTAGCGGCACGCATCTCATAGCGGCGAGCAACGGCACTTTTCTACCGTTGTTTACGTTCGCGCACGCCTTTGCATCCGCTTTTGCCCATTCGTGGAGTAGATGTCTTGTGCCTATCGTTACATAACGCCGATAACGGCGATCGGTCGGCGGCGGCCCCGCGTGCAAGTTCGCCGAGACCCCGCCGTCAGGGGATCGGTTTGTGCCGTCCGCGAGACGCTAACCCTTGCAAGGAGCGAAAGTATGTTGGCATGCCGGTTAGGAAACATCGTAATGTAAAGCCTGAGTCAATGAGAGTTGTCCGTTATTTGATTTATCCTCATCCCAGGGTTTAGATTATGACGGTAACCTAGCATTGTTTACCAGTATTTCGCAAAATCGTAACAATCTTTCTACAAGCGACTCGTAAAGCCGCTCGTCAAATTTTGGAAGGCGTAATTAAGAGTGTGCTGCTGTTGTTTTTTGGCGACACGTCAAAACTTTGTCGGCGGCATATCAAAACTTTCTGCTTGTAGCGCAATCGCACTAATGCCGAAACATTCTGCACAATGATTCTCCCGGCTGCCAGGAGATAGACACGGCCTAAATCTAGAGGTAATCTGGAATACATTTAGGAAAAACGATCAATTGTCACGAAGTAGGTTGCAGCGCACTTACGTTGACGAGACGCGACTTGAAAGGTGTTGTCCAAGGGAGATGTCGACACGGCCACGGTAAAACCACCACTCGAACACAAAAACGCGAAGGTGCCCGTGAAGATTCAACACGATGTAGCACAAGCTGTCGTTTCTAGAACCGAACACTAAACGCATCACAAAACATTCTTGGGCTTCTTTGAAGAAATCGCTTGCAAAAGCAGTCATACGCAGCAGCCACACAGGGAGAATTCACACGCCAAACTAGGTCCGGCTAAACGCATTCCGAGATCGGGAACGGCTAATGCGTCATCCCTCAAACCACGTGACCACTCAACTTTTACAACGCTTTCAGCCTAGGGAGAGAGAGAAAAGGATCAAGGGAGAGGCCAAAACGGGGTTTCACGAACAAAAGGCTTATCTTACGGGGCCGCAATGAGGGGATGTGTCACTTGTAACGAAGGTTGACAGTGCTGTGAATGCTATGTGTGGCCTTGGGCACCAGGCAGGTGCGATGTCCTGCTTTGTCACCAGATTCTAAACTGTAGTCACGTGACCCTAACCGGAGACACGATTGGCCTAAAACACGCGTAGCGTCTACCCTGCTGTCAATACCGAGTGAACATACAGCTCTATGAAGCCTAGCTTTTGAACTCAAAACGATGCGTGTTTCATGATACTATGTTTTACGCTGTATAAACCACATTATAATTTTAAATAAAAAAATAAACGCGACAATTTTTTGGTGCATGATGTCGAAAAATAAATAAATAAATAAACATATATATACATATGTTTACCAATAAATTTAAAACCATGTGTACACTGTTTCAAATTTTTTTATGAACGAGTTACACATAAAATACCATGGACAGCACATCTTCCGACTTTCAACACACGATGAATCGCCGACGCTCGCAAACGAACGGATGCGATGCTACGCAAACGGTTTTGAAAGAGCTGCGTATTGTACTCCGGGCGCAACGGCTTCCGTTCGAAGGGAAAAGGATTCGGGACGTCGAAGTAGCGTCTTGCATCTTGAGTAAGCTAACGGTTCGTGTTTAGCCCCTCAATTTAGCGGTGAAATATGAAAAAAATTTGTTTCACTGCCAGATTTCGCGGGAAAATTAACGTCACGTGACATACGTACCAATTCAATTTCTCGCTAAATTTAGCGGGGCGGTTACACCGATGGTGACGCCAACACCGCTTAATTTGGAAACGGGTGCCTAAGAGCTGCGACTAAAATCCATTGTTTGATTAAGTCGCGTTCCGATCGCACTACGTCATATTGTCACACAGCAAACATACAACCAAATTTCATTTGTCTTTCAATCTTCAAATTGCGCAATTGATTAATTGGTCCAAATACCTGGAATAACTTCACTTTAAGGATGTTAACAATAGTTAACCAATTACATGAGACTCATGCAATATAGATCAATCAACTAGTGCCTTAGCGAGTACATATAACTTGTTGCTTCCACAACTGAAACGGGCCCATACATCATTATCTGGGGCTATATTTGCACGCGTATATGGTGATATATGCCCGTATTTACGCACTTATACGGCCAGATCTGACAGTATTTGCCCACCTATATGCCGAAATACGGCCGTATTAGCTCCCATATCTGGCGAAATACAGCCCTATTTGACTGCTTATATTATCATATCTGGCCGCATATAAAATATATCAGGGCCATATCTGACATTTTCGTACGGGTTTCCAGGGCCCTCGGAGAGTAGGGCAGCGAGCTAAACTCGCAAAACTTCCGGAACTGCACCGGCAGCATACCGCTGCATATAAATGCGAGTGCGAGATGACAATCGACAGTGCGTGAGTCCCCACTTGTGGAGCTAGAGCAAACAGTCAAAGAATGTTCCTTACGCCTCCAGTGGAGGCGGGAGCCGAATCTGCAGGAGGTCACTTTTTCCAGCGAAAGCGTCTCTGGGCAATTTTCCCTGTGGTCTTGCAGGGTGTCAAGCATCTTGAAGAGCACTGACGTGTCACAAACAATCAAAGCCGTCTTACATGACAACGCAAGCGCGTCACTTACTCGTGCAGGAGTGGCGTGAGGACCATGCGGTGTTTCAGACAGGGACTGTAAGGCTCTCGTCATTATTGCACTAAGCGGATCACCCTTATAGGTGACATTCACTTGACGTCACTCGCTAGGTTCGCTGGCATCGCCCGCCACGGTCGCCATCTTCGAGGTCTCTTGCTATCGCGAATGCCATCTGGCCGGACCTTTTCAGCGTGGTTTAGCAGTATTTTACAACTTTAAAGGGTCTTTTTGATCGAAACTAGGAATTAATTTTATACTTTGGTGCTTTTAAAGCGCCGTGGGAGTATTTTTTGTGTGTTTTAGTTCGGTTTTTGTCGCTATCGGACTCGTTTACCGCGGCCGCGTTGCTCCCTCGGCTCCATGAAGCGCTCCGTGTCGCCCGCCGTGCCGACGGCGGTAGCTCTTGCAAGAACTAATTTTTCTACTTTGGTGCTTTTGTAGCACGTTGTGATTACTCTTTGTTTTGTTTTGCTAGTTTCTTTATTGTTTTTCTCTAGCGGATTTTCTGCACTACGGCCGTGTAACCGTGTTGCTCCATCGCCGCTGTGTCGTACATACGTCATGCCTTCGGTGTTCGTTCCTGTGCAGAAACATACCGTGCGGCTCACAGAGTGCGCAGTTTATGAAAAATGCGGCGCATTTTTCATTAGCCCAAGCGATTTAAAAACCGCATGTAAGCGATTTGGCGAGCGGGAAGACAAGTGGCGGCGACCCG